TTTAAGAGTTTAAAATTGTTATATTGGCTCTTCATCCTTTTATTATAGACATGTTGAAATCATGAATATCACTAAAAGCCACCTAGTCACATGGCTCCTGACTTATTTTCTTTTTAATGGTTCGGTGAACAATAATATATTGTATTTACAGTGTCGACTCTAAGCTGATAAAACGTGGCTCCTAACGCAACACCATGGGCACGGAAATCTTTCTATTTTTTCTTTTTTGGTAAAATGTGGGGCAATAGCCCTTTCATTATTTGAAACTAATTAGTCTAGACTTCGAGAAGCCTAATTGATCCCTGCACAACAAATCCTGTAACTCAACAGGAGGTTTCCTTTAAAACTTCAAACCTCCATCCTCTCTTTGACTCAAACTAGCTAAAAAATCAACATAGCAATTTCCCTCTCTGTAAGTATGAGATGCCCTCACTTCTCATTTAGAATTTTGCAAGTGCATAATATCTTGAAGGACTACTAGAAATCTCATTACAGTCAAACAATATGCTAAGGATACAAGCAACATAAATAGAATCAGCCTCAATGACTAATTTTTTAATATTCAAATTCTAAGTTACTATAAAATTAGACCAGACACCTAAATTTCAGCATCTATAATAGAACAAATACCTATCTTATTTACAATACTTAACATTCATTCTTCAGACTCATTCCTAAATAATCCCCACAACCAGCAATACCTGGCCGTCCTCTACACAATAAAATCCTCCGTAACCATACCCTGAACTTCAAAATTATTGAACAAGACATTGCTTCTTACCTCTGAAGAACTCTTTCCTTCCAAAATCTCATCAATAGCCCTAATATTTTGCCTCACATTAACCCTATGCTTATCACTAAATTCCTCCTTTCTATTCTTGTCTTTACATTAGTAATATTAGCTAGAGGCACTCTTACTTCTTCATTCTCTCTATTATTCCCTTTCTTACTTTTCCATTAAACTTTCTCCCTTTGCCACCATCACATCCTCTCCGACTCCCTTTCTCCCCTTCCTCAATATTCACCTCCTCAACTTCAAGTACAACCAATCTTGAATTGCTTGTCACATTTTTAAAGTGGGAAACTTGTCTCCTTCTTGTTCTAAGCCTTTGAAAAATCCTCCACTTACTACCCTTCAACTTTTCACTCTTCATTCCTTCTATATTTACTTCCTCCTGCTTTTTAAGACCATCAACTCCATCTTTACTATCACAACAATCCTCCTCAACATGCCTAGACCTCCCACATTTCATACAAAGTAAACTCATACTCTCATAATAGATTGACATCTTAACTCCATTCACAACAAATTTAGACAACAAAGGCTTTGTCAGATCCACCTCAACACACAATCTATCAAAATGACCTTTCTCTTTTTTTGGCTGCAGGAATATCAACTTTAATTACCCTACTTCTCTTTGACCCAAAATTATATAGCAATTTCTTCTCAAACAATTCAAAACACAAATTTGGCAAACAAACCCAAACAACAACTATAGAAATTACCTCTTTCATAGGCATGAATCTTAGCCTCCATCTCATCACACTCAGATAACTATCAACCATCACCCAATTATTAGTAAGAGCCTTTATATAATCCTCATCATTTTGAAACTTTGCCAAAAAGAACTCATACCCAATATCTACTACATCAACCTTTCCTCTCTTCCCCTAAGTCTATGCAATTATTTGATATAAGGGAGCACTTGACACTAGTTTTTCCATCACCTTCACAATTAAAGTCCTTGCCAATAGAGCCATTAATCTCTTGCTCCGTTTCATTAATGATAAAGTTTGGGCATAACGGATCATCTTTAACCACCCGAATGCCCTCTATTAAATTCAAAATATCATTAAAACCAGTGTTGACATCCTCTTCAACCACAAAACTCTTATCACCATTCCCTTTATCTTTCAACATCAACAAATCACAAAATGACCTGCTTGGCGTCCTTTCCCATTCTCCAAATCTCCTTCAACCATCCAATCCTTACTCATTAGAACCATCGAGACATTACTAAAGAAATTCTCAACCTCTTTCCAAACTTTCCTCTTACTACAATCCAAAGCATCCTTTTCTTCAGCCACAAACACTACCCAGTCCCCAGTGACTTAACGTTAGGGCCAAGCCAAGCAAACAAGAGCATTGTTATTTTCTCACGCAGTAGTACATGGCACAAAAAAGGATGAGCTGTGGCACATATGTCGTATGCTATGGCGCATGTGTTGTTTTCTGCACAAAATCTTATTTTGAGATTTAAAACTCATTGTCTTGAGTCTCATTTGATTTCTTAGCTTCTGCATTATTTTCAAACTCTGTTTTAAGCATTATAAGTATCGATTGAGAGTTAAAATGTTGAATTTGAGGAGAAGATTTTCTCTTTTATGGAATTTTACAACTTTGGTAGTTTTTTAAAGGTTAATCTCTTGATTACCTTAATTTTGAAGTTAAACATAGTTAAGTAAAAGAGATCTTACAAAATGACTCACATTATAGTATCTAACTTCTAAAGTATATTTCAAGCAAGTTTTGTTCTAGTTCAAGCTTGATTTGAATCCACTAAATCTCATAATGCATGAATGATAGCTAAAACATGCGTGAACTTGGCCAGATCAAACATAAAATGGACATATAAATAAGGATGCATTCTAAAGATTTAACATTTAAGTTCGAACAACTTATGAACCTAAGATTATTTTTATTATAATATATTTTTACCATTTTCAAAAACATGTGATACCTCTCGTTAGTTTTTATAATTGAATATAATAGAAAAACAAATAAAATAAACTAATAAATCTAAATCTTCTTTTAGTCTTCATGTTTTCTTTGAAGGTCTTGTTACTTAGTTAATTCTTATAATTTGTATATATAACAAATATCTTTTTTTAGTTTTATTATAATAAAAAGCATATGGTTCAACCTGCCAGGCCTCAAACAATGGGTATTTTGAAAAATTATATTTAAGGGTTTAAGCCTACCCATTTCTCAGCTCCAAATTAATCCTACTTGCAAATCATCGGTGGATGGTTCATTAACTTCAAATGTTATTAATTAAATATATTCGGAATATGGAGACGATGTTTTCTGTCAAAAGCAAATTTTTTTATTTTGCATATTAAAGTGTGGTATGCTATGACTGATACTGATTTTTTTTTTTATAGAATACTAAAATATAGTATTGTTAATCACTGTTTTCGGTAAAATACGGCACTAAAACATTATTAAACGAAAACAATTACATAATATCTTACATTATCATATTGTGGGTCAGTATCATATATTATCACATATAGGATTCGCGAACAGAATATATGAAAGAAAAAGCTGGCACGCCAATTATAATTTAATTTTTTTTCAATTGCATTTTATTGTTAGTTGCCAAATGAATAAATACATAAATAAAATTGAAGAATTGGTAATTGGACATGAATATAATAATGGAGAAGAGCGATAACTGAGATAAAATTATAGGAGCTCTAGATACAACATGCTAGGGGATATTAATAAAAAGATTGGAAGGGAACCAAACAAAGAGAAAATTTTGAAAATTTAAATGAGAAATGAAAATGAAAAAATAGGATTGGATGAAAAAGAATATAATTATTCAGAGACAATCAGATGTTAGAATTTCACTTGAAGAGGGAAGGATATCTGCACTGAAAATAATTGGATGTCAGTTAGTTCCGTTACCATGGACTGCGAGTGAGATCATAAATAAATAATTGTGGTTAGACTATTACACCGTAATAATTTTTAAATGAACTTTGATTTAATTAAATAATAAGAACACAATTTCTCTAAAGTAAAGGCATTGAAAAATTGAAAATATGGATAAAAATTTAAAAAATGTTAAGTTAGCTATATTTAATTAAACTCGATATATTTAAATTTGTTTTGTGAATTCCAAATAACACATAGTCATATTAAAAAAGGATAACACTTTTTTCTTTAAGAAAAAGAAAAAAGTGGCTTTTGTAGCTTGTAGCTAGATGATCCTCCCCAGTATATGTTTTGTTGTTCGGGGTAACCATTTTCCTTGTCTCATTATTCCTTCTTTCTTTAATTCTCTCATTATATTTGATTTTGTTCCAATTTTTATTTTTTAATGATTAAATGTACAAAAATTTAGATTTAATTTTGTTTGTTGAAAATCATGAGAATGAAATTAAAACTAAATAAAAATTAAATTAAAATTTCAAAATGTATCAAAAAGCAATGTCAGAAGTAATCATAAAAGATAAATAATCTAGTTCAAATGTTAATGTTTGAGATTAAAAGTTATGATTCATAAAATTTGTTATGGGTGCATTGATTCTAAGATTCATGGTGTTATAATCTTGTTGAAAAGGATGGTGCTAAGATAATTTATAATTGTGTGAGAGTTTAAAATTTATCTATAAGTTTTAAGAGTTTTAAATTGTTATATTTCCTCTTCATCTTTTTGCCATAGACATGTTGAAATATATTAAACCAACCACAAAAATTAAAATATTATATATTATATATATATATATGTGATAAAATTAATTAATCAGATAAAAATAGCTCACACGTATTACAGATTTAAAATAAAATATCTAAAGATTACATTTGATTACACATTAAAAATTTTAAGTTTTTAAGGCGTTCATATTTATATATTTATATTTATTACTTTTATTCGGAGCAGCTGGCACGTAGCCATTAAATGTCAATATGTCATAGATAATGTGGCAGGGACAATATAGTAATTTAGAAAATGGCTATGGCCTATCCTGGGAAGGACAGGTTTAGGGTATCACGGCGCTCTTCCCTGTCGCTAAACCCCTCCGATTTTTTTTTTTTAATTCTCTTTAAAATTCTTTATAATATTATAATCCGACGACGAGTCCACGGCCCAGCACCCCCACCGCCTGTAACTCCCGCACTAATCACATGAAAAATACTTAACTCTAAATATTATAGTCAATAAATAAATAAACCTGAGCCGCCTGAGCGATTCACATAAATAAGCAGGGAAAGAGGTTGAACAACAGAAAACAGAGCTGTTCTTATCTCACTCTCTGCTCTGTTTCTCTTTCCATATATCTATACATTCCACGAGGAGCTCTGTTTTCTGGATAATCTTGTTGCCTCTCCTCCTCTTCTCATTTGAAAGCCATGGCCAGCATCACATCCATATTCTCTTCTTCTTCCTCCCCCTTCATTGCTATATTGCTGCTTGTCACTATTTCTGGTACGTTATCTACTCCCCCCCCCCCAACTCCTCCATCAATATTCCCTTCATCAATTTTATACACTTTATGTTTTTTCTCTGTCATTCAACTCTTACTACAATGTCTGGTCTCAGGATTTTACCATAAATTTCTATCTCATTTTTTGAATGGGGTTTTCCAAGATCCAAGTTTTTTGTAACGGGCCTAATGGTTGTCAACTTACTTCTCTGCTAAATAATTTATGGGTCATTTCCATTCATGCATAATTTCCCCCTCCAGCTCGATCAATTTTATTTGAAAGCAAACTACTTCTATCGAACCCCTGACGCGTGGAGATAATTAGTTGATTAGGAAATCCTTATTCAAAGTTGAAACTATTGTAAGATGTTTCTTATCAGTCTAACTCTGCCTTGTACTCTGTTTTTCCAGATTCTTGTCTGCAAATTCGAGGCGCAGAGTTTGGAATAAACTACGGACAAATAGCCAACAATCTCCCTTCCCCTTCTCGTGTGGCTGGTCTCATAAAATCCCTCAACGTCAGCAGAATCAAGCTCTACGATGCCGATCCAAACGTTCTAGCTGCCTTCTCCAATTCTGATGTCGAGTTTGTCATAGGACTAGGAAACGAGGATCTCGAGAACATGAGGGACTTGTCAAAAGCACAATCCTGGATTCAACAAAATGTTCAACCATACCTCTCACAGACCAAAATCTCCAGCATTACCGTAGGAAACGAGGTTTTCACCAACAACGACACACAACTGAACCAAAATCTCGTCCCTGCAATGCAAACAGTGTACCACGCCCTTGTCAATCTTGGGTTGGATCAACAAGTTGCTGTCACAAGTGCTCATTCTTTCAATATTTTATCTAATTCTTACCCTCCTTCGTCTGGTGCTTTTAGGGAAGATTTGATACCATATATCCAACCCCTTTTGAGTTTTCATGCTCAAGTGAAATCCCCTTTTCTGATTAATGCATATCCTTTTTTTGCCTACAAGGGAAGTCCCAACGATATTTCATTAAACTATGTATTATTTCAGCCAAACTCAGGAATGGTTGATCCAAACACGAATCTTCATTATGATAACATGCTTTATGCTCAGATTGACGCTGTGTATGCAGCGATCAAAGCATTGGGTCACAGTGATGTTGAGGTTAAGATTTCTGAGACAGGCTGGCCTTCCAAGGGTGATGCTGATGAAGTAGGAGCTTCGCTTGAAAATGCAATGTTGTACAATGGGAATTTGTTGAAGAGGATAGAGATGAACCAAGGGACTCCCGCGAAACCTTCGGTTCCTATTGATATCTACGTGTTTGCACTTTTCAACGAAAATATGAAGCCTGGTCCTGCTTCTGAGAGGAACTATGGTCTCTATTATCCTGATGGTACTCCTGTTTATGACGTTGGATTACAAGGTCGTTTACCAGAGATGGTCGTTCAATCTGCATCCAAGTCCGACGTAAGTGGACATCCATCGAAATGAAAGACATACACTAAATCCATTATTCTCTATCTTTTTCTTCATTTCTCAGGTTTTCTGTGTTGTTCTGCAGGCCTTGTTCGTGGGTTTTCTTGTCTATGTCTTTACATGCTTGGTTTCTGTTTTTGAGATTTCAAGGTCGTGATCACCAGTAGGGAGAGATCAAAGGAAGCAGAGGAATCGTTTTGCAAGAGGAAGCCATGCAAGGTCAGAAAACATGATCACCCCATTTATATATTTGTTCAGGAAAACATATTACTTTTGGTACATGATAAGTAGGAGAAACCGGCGAAACTTTTAGGAATCAATGGTAATATCAAATGAGCATATGATCATAGACAGTAGACACAAGGGATAGAAAGTGTGAAGGAGAAAGTAGAGCAGAAGAAGCAAAAGGGAAAGCGTTTTTGATGCCTCCATATTCAATTTTCCATGACTTTGTAAATGTAGGTCTGTAAAATGAAATGAGGGGAAAGTTTTGGAACCATACTTTTTCCCCCCCCTTGATCATCAAAAAATAAAGTTTTGGAACCATACTGTGCAAAGGTTGTGCTCAATGGTATCTAACAAAGTAGACCTTGTCAAATGCTGTCCAAGTGGACTCTTTTCACACACAAACGAGCAAAATATGGTAATGGGACTCTATCTTCCTCATCATCCCACTTGTAATGATGCATGCCAGTGAATAAATTCCTCTCTGTCTTGAGCAGCACAAAAGTCCAAAGAGGGTTGCATCAGATTAGAAATAAACAGCCAGGATCTCTTTGCCAGATTTTCAGGAAACCTCACAAAGTTCTTGTCTCTCCCTCTCAGCCTTATCCCCATGCCTCCTCTGTTTGTTCTATTTTGCCGTGATCATCATACCATACCAGTTAACAGTAATCTTGCCAATTCCTTTTCACGTTACCCCAACAATTTTGAACTGTTTTCAGACATGCGTATCACAAGGTACTTGTACAAAAAAACCTCGCAATCGTAGTTGTGATGAGCATATGAACGTAGAAGGAAACATCTTCAGATGCAGGAACCTACCTGGTTTAAGAAATCCTGAACATTGGTCGAAAAAATCACGGGAAAGAAATTCAAAAAGGTGACACGAGAATCACAAAAGGTGGGCCACTGAGGTAATGGTGGCTCTAGAGCTAACGCGATGCAGATCCAACGTGCCTTTCAATTGTTAAATTAAAAATGTGACGTCATCATCAATGACTCCCTGGATAAGGTTGACAAACGAATGCATTCTTCCCACTTGATCAATTTTCATTTTTTTTAAGGTCAAATAGTGTGGTTTTGATTTCAAACTAGCTAGCTAGCTGCTTCCATGCGTTCTTCACACCTTTTTTCTCATTCCCTTTTGGTGCACGAAAGATCAGTGCCTTTTTCCCCTCCCTAATCTGACCCTATTTTTCACATACAAACAGCAATAACTACATGCTTTTATAGACTTTTTCAAGCCAGTCAATGCTGTAGCAGCATTGAATCATACAAAATATTCAGATAAAGAAATGTATATGCATGTGTCAGTATGATGAAAGGTATGCAAGAAGGGGGAAAAAAACTAGTTGATATGTGTGCTTAATTTAATGCTAGTTGGGTTGCAATTTGCTGGGAAACTGACCAAATTAAATGATAAAAAAGAAAGAAAGAAAGCAACTTAAACCTACTATGCATGATGCATGAGGCGTATGTGGGATCTGGCTGGCCAGTTTTGACATTGGATTTAATGATTTAAAGAGTTTTTTTTTTTTTTTGAAATGCTATTGATGAGGAAGGTGGGTGACTGCTATCGATCGATGGGTTTAATTATTGTTGCCTGGGAACAATGTTGATGAATCAAATTCATTTGTCTGCAACTTTTTTTTTTTTTTGTGTGTGCAGGAAGACCAAAAGTGATACAACTTTTTTTGGTCGGCATAGATCCCTTTGCTTTCAGGCTGACAGCTACGCCACCAATCCATTCTTGTCGCCTAAACCCATTATTCATATTTCATACACTTCAATTAACAGATTTAATACCATAACAGAGCCAATAAAGATGCAGATGTGAACAATTAGCTCTTGAAGCGATTCTTTTATAGAAAGTTATAGATCACGTCCTCTTCTTGTTCTTTTTTCCCATTTTTCTTTTCTCACAGATAGTTAGGGATTAAATATTATTACTGTTAGTCGATTGTAACATTATTGGTTTGACTGTGTTTTGATAAGAAGGTAGAAAGATTTGTTGGATTTTCAGATGTTATGTGTACCAGAGACTTCGTCTTCGTGTGCATTTTGTAAAGAGCGATTATTCTGCTGAATTATGAGTCTATAATAAAAATTTTATATATTATTTTACAAAATGAAGATATCATTTTAAAATAAATGATTATCTTTCATGACATAATAGTTATCGATAATCAGCTAGTATTCTGTAAACAATGCCAGAGGCAAATGATGCTTGAGTTGGTATTATATTGTTGTATTGGAAAATTGTCCTTAATATACATACATACATATATATATGATTAAAGAGAAAATGAGTAAATACTCCCTCCATTTTTATATGTAAAAAAACTACAACTTTTAACATGTTATTTTATATAAGTAAAATCACATTTTTCAATAAGTATTTATTGTAAATTTTTTAAATTATGCTTTATAATTTTATTATTTATAATCATAAGAGGCAATCAATCAAGGGTTGATTAATACAATTAATGAAGAATATTATAGTTTAATTTTTTTATTTTACATACACAATTAATATATTTAACTGATTTTCTTAAATTATGTGATACAATTTTTTTTCTATAAATAAAAACGGAAAGACATAAAAATAATTGATTTAATAATATTCGTGAAGCCAGCTTGTCTATGAAGTTTTTTATTTAACAAATGAGAGAAGTGATGATAAAGGCGAGTCGTGCAAGCAACCATATCCATGATGGAAGACAAGGACGACCTGTTATCATTATTCATCAGATAGTAAGAAGTCTGGGCAAAATAATTATAAATAACAACAATAGAGAAACGCAAAATAAACAAGCAAACATGTCTTTTGCTTCCCTCCTTTATTTGAGTAGCAGCCTTGTCAAAATCGAAGAGCATTGTGTTCATACATGCCAGAAAATCTAGTTAGGTGATGAAAACAAACATGTCAAAATTAATTTTGAGATACTCCTTTTTTTTTTAAATGAATAATTTTGAGATATCCTATACATAATGAATAAAATAATTCGCTACTTTTGAGTATAAATAAAAGTAAAATAATAATGATAATGATAAAAGTAGCCTGTTCTTGCTCTCATGAACGATTGAACGTGGCTGTTCTCCTGATTACATATTGATTTTTACACAAAAAAATGGTTACCAGTAAACAAGAGATCTCACTTTCCCTCATTCAATGATGATTATTGCATTATTTTATGTGTTAATTATACTTGTGATATTATATAGAGCAAAAGTTTGAAGAAAGAAACAAATAAGAATAATTTGGCCGGCGGGCACAAAGAGGCGTCCCTTGGAGATGAAGAAAAGTCCAATAATGTGAGAGATGGATTACACGCAAATTAATGGAATCTTTAGAGGATGATTGCAGGCAGAACTAAACACAAGGCATCAACGGCTTTGGGACTTTCCGCTCTTTGGGGATATATTTAGCGCTCTCTTCATTGCTACTATTACATCTGAATGCATATATTTATGTGATTTGGAGCCACGTATTTACTATATAATTATTGATACATCACGGGCCACGTATTTACTATATAATTATTGATACATCACGTATTATTTATCACTTGATTTTTGAAATCAAGACAATAACTTTTGCTCTTCAATATTCTTTTAATTTCCTTTCACAGTATTTGTGTGTCTTGGCTGCTATATCTAATCTTCAAATTGGGATATTTGGTGATCAAGTTCCCTATCTCTTGCTACTAATTAAGAATTTAAGGTCACTGAAAAATTTAATTATTCTCGTCGCAACGTTAGATTTCAACCTTCTTATATGTTACTACTCTATTTTTATTCAAAAATCACTTTCAACATATTTCACCTGTATTAAGAAAAACTTTAAAATTTATTAATTCTGTTTTAAAATTTAATAAGTTTTTAACTTTACTCCTATTAAATATACACATTTTAATAATATATTTTTTCTCTCCAATATTTGATGGAAGGTAAAAAAAAATTTATAATAAAAATGTAATGATGTGATTTATAAATAAAATTAAAAAATTTTTCTCTCTTTACTTTATAAATAAAATCAAAGGAAGTGTGGAACAATTTCGTTAGGAACAAGAACTTGAAATCTCCTCTGAAAGTGTAAATTTTTTACTGTGAAACGATCTCATAGTATGGACGTAGGTATCAATTTATTATTCCTATCTTATATTATAGGCACTTTTTTTTTTAAATTCACTTCTAGTCGTATTGTATATGGCCGGTCACCTTTGTAAAAATCTAGATTGGTATGGTGATATTTTGTCATTGAATAAGGAGATTAAAATGTGCTTTCATGCTGAGAGACAATAAAGTCTCGACCTTATGTGATGCACCCCAAAAAATCACAACTCATTTGTTTGGACTTTCCCTTTCAAATCAAACACAAAATCAACGTACAATAATATATAATATTCATAGCCCAGCGCCACCTATTCTCAAAGGATCTAGTGATCGCCCATCCAGTCGTGCACAAAAGCCCCCGTAGCTGCCATTATTCAAATCAAGGGAAGAATGACATCTTTTTTGGAGTAAAATTTTAACAAATTTTAAAATATAAAAAAATTTCTTCATCCTTAATTGATCTTTTGGTTTTGTCCAAAAAAAAAATCTTTTGACAGCATTTTAAATTTACAAATTTACAACCTATTTTCTAAAATTTATAACTTCTTCCACTTTAATTTGCAACTTAATTTTTTAGTTTAATTGAAAAACATAATTTTATTTTATTTTATTAAAAAGCATAATTTTAATATTATATTTTATAAGATTATTTATTCAACTTCAAGAATTTACAATGTACTCTTTTGAATTTGCAACTTTATCTATTATGATTTACAACTTTTATGAACACAATATCTTATTCAATTTCAAAACTTTACAACTTACTCACTCTAATTCTATTTATAAAGTAAAAAAAAAACAATTTTTAATTCTTTTTATAAATCACATCACTAATTTTTATCATAAATTTTTCTTTACCTTCTAAAAAAATATATTATTAAAATATATATATTTAATAAGAATAAAATTAAAAATTTATTAAATTTTAAAATAGAATTATAATGAGTTTTAAAACTTTCTTTAATACTGATAAAATATATTAAAAATAATTTATAAATGAAACTAAAAAAACACTCTATAATTTGTACTTTCATTTGCTATAGTTTCTTGTTAAATGTTAAAATTGTGTTTTTTTAATAAAAAAAAGTTGTGTTCTTAAATTAAATTAGAAAACCAAATTACAAATCAAAGTAAAAGAAGTCGCAAATTTAACTGCAAATTTATAAATTTAAAATTTTGTCAAAACATCAATTAAAGATCTAAAAGACTTTCTTTACATTTTAAAATTCACTGGGATTTTGCTGAGATAAAATGATTCCATTAAAACTCAAGTGTCATCCTCCCTTATTCAAGACATTTAATCTCTTTGTTCCATGCCATCTTTCAATGGAAGTCAAATCAGCAATGCACAAAGAAGAAAGCAACACCACTCGAAGTGCAGGCCCATGTTGGGATGGGATGTATAACCCGTGTTCATTATTCATGTTGGCATATCATTTACACGAAGTTTATTGCCCAAAAATTATGTATGGAAAATCATTGCACCCTAAGAAATTTATTGTCAAGAAAATTCATGAATAAAAAAAAATTGAAGGCAACATAAAAAAAAAAAAATCCTTGAAATGAGTATCACCGCAGCTACTCAATCATATGATACGAGGAAAGGAATAACCATAGACATGAAGGCGTCATATGAAAGTGTTGCTGAACCAGTACAACGCGTATCCTTCTCCTTAAATTTGTCAGTCAGGCCCTGAAAATTTCAACAAGGCAGCTTGTAACTATAAGCACATTTACATACGAGAAATAATACTTGATCTTGCTATACGAACTCCATGATCCACTAAACCAACTAGTGATGTTGCTCTAGTCTCGAAAATGTCTGGTCCTCCTGAGTTTTTTTCAGCACGAGTTTAAGGATGATAACAGTTCTAACATGCGATTTGAACCTTAGCTTGATGAATCTCTATAGTTTGTGGATATATGTAAAACTATCCTTTTCTATAGGTAAAAATATGACATCTTCCTACTTGTTTAGTCCATGTCATGCAAGCCCCTAAATCTATGTGGAGAGGAAAGAGAGAAATTCAACAACTAAATTGACCCAGCCAATGTCCAAAAATATTCCAGCCAGATTTGAAAAACCAGAAGCAAAATAGGCCTGTTTCAATGGGAAGAGCAGAATATAGAACAGAAAGAACAAACACAAACAGGGGACATATCCAGATCTTGAAGAGCGCTGCAAATTTTACCTTGACAACCATCCCACACCTGCATGTACAGCTACAAAACATGAGATATACAATGACATTTAAGATCTCCCAAAGGAAATAAGAGCATTGAGAAAAACACTTCAAAGATTCATAGATAAAAGGCCTTACTCAACAAAGCTGTCAAATCCAAGTTCAACTCGTCCACCACTTCCATTACTGTATTTGGAAAGTAGAAGTTGAAGAACTGAAGCTGGTACTGCGTAGCCAATACCATACAGTGCGTCTCTTAGTTCTAATGGGTCAATTTTCCCACTCCGATCCCTATCATATCTCTCAAATATGGCCTGCGAATGTAGCAATCCAAGATTGGAGGCATTAATAAGAATCATATGGAGTGAAGTTCTGACATAACACGTGAACTTCACACTCGTGTCAAAATTGTTCAAAGCTTAAGGTGTATAGAAAACCATGCCAATTAGCAGTAATTCAGGTAAAGATAGCAGCCACAAGTTACACAAAAAAGATGAAATAGTATAATCCATATGCACAAGTTCCAAAAGACCATTTTAGTTGACGGATTCAATTGTCTTCCCTAAGATGCATGAGAATAAAGCTCAAAATTGGAGATATTTTGCGATATTGTTTCCTTTAAGAGAATAAAGCATCATGAGGAAAGGAGACTGCCGATTGAATACTATATATTCGGATTCACAAATGAACGATTTAGTCCATGTGTATACGTGATATTAATAATAATGAAGAAGATAAGGTGACAACACAAGAACATAAGAAGTTATCTGAAGGAAATGTTTGAACAATTAAAAAGAAACTCACTCGCCAATGACCAAGGCAACTCCAGAGAGCTGCAAATTCTTTGGGCCCTGTAACAGCAAAAGCACTTGGCATCAACAAATCGAATAGCTCCATAATAGAAGTCAAAGATTCCAATTATAATTCACAGGCAAGGAAAACCACAGCAGTCTGACAACGGATAAAGACAGGAAAGAAAAAGACCTTTCAAACAAATCCATAATTACATGCGGAAAAAAGCTAGATCCAATATCAACATGAATACCCTAAACCCACTAAATCACATTATTTTTCCAGTCTCCTAAGCTCCTACTGTCAAATAAAATTCAATCGGCAAAAGAGGGAAGAAAAAGGAATGTGCAGAACTAACCAATTCTGATAGGGTCATTAGGATTCTTGAAGAGAAACATAAGAAAACGAATAGTCCGAAGATCAAACTTGTGAAACCCATTAGATAGAGCTTGCTGCAACTCTTTCTCTTCAATAAACCCACTTCGATCCCTATCCACCGCCTGAAAGCTCCTTATCACATCAGGGTGCGTCCCCGGTGGAAAACTAGGATACCCAGACGACGACGACGAAACATGTCCATAGCCACTCCCCTGATAATAATTCGAAGAAGTGTTGGCCGAACCTTGCCCATAACCACTCCCGTGGGGATAATTTGAAGTGGCCGAAGAACTTTGCTGGTAACGACCTCCATATTGATGATAATTTGGAGAATCGGTGCTTTGTCCGGTGTAGTAACTAGGAGGCACCTCGCTAGTCGTAGAGGTAGTATTATAAGGGGGCTCCTCAGGAAGGGTTGGAGCGGATGGAGCATAGGATTGAGAACTGTATCTGCCGTAGGAAGACATGGGAGGAGCTAAATTCCGGTTCCAGAAAGGAACAGAGAGATTTGTGAACTGAGATATCTAGTTTGACTGGAATTGGGTTGAAATTTGAAGGAGTTAGTTAAATTACAAAAAGGTAGGCGTGAATCAGAGAGCTAGCTTGGTCGGCCGGAGGATATGTCGCGGCGATGCCCCGTGGAAAGTTCGCGGCTTTAACTTGGAAAGCGCTGGAATCTCAACCCGGTCCTCTTTTCTACAGTTTTATGTATATTCCTTTCTATTTTAATCTTAAGGGCTACGTTTTCTGTGGGTTTGATGCATGAATTGATACTGTTAGATAAAAGGCATTAAACAGAATGACGCGAATCAATTTGATCTCTCGGTGTGCCCTAAACCCACCCCCCCCCCCCAAAAAAAAAAAAAAACCAAGAAGAAGAAGAGGAAGGAAAGAAGAAAACTCATCCGTAAAAAAATGACAATAATAAAAAACTCAGGTAGTGACGTAGTGTTTAGGGTAATTACGTTTGCCAAGCTCAATTATTGGAGTTGGCTTTCCTCGCAGGGAAGTGCTGGGTGAATAATCTAGATTGTTTAAATTTAATTTTTTTTAAATTTTAACTTTAATTTTTTTAAAATAAAAAATTTACATAAATGATAAAAAATTTTAATAAGTCAGTTTATCAGTTTAGATAGCATATATTTAATATTAAATTTATAATTTAACTATCTATATATATTTTGAATAGAGTAGTAGGTGTAATATTTAATTTTTTTAAAATTACATAAATTTTTAATATTAAATGTGAATCATTTCTATTAAATATGGATTATCAATTTATTAAATTTTTTCTCATTTATATAATTTTTTGATTTTAAAAAATGCAAAATTAAAAAATAAAAATATTAAATTCAAACTATTCAAATTAAATTTGGATAGTTCAGATTGTTAAGAAAATGATGAAGAGAAAATTAAACTATTGATTAATGAAAATGATATAATATTGATAATGAAATTGATCCTTCACTTAAAGGATTTATCACACTAATCTATTCACTTGAGTGATTCTCAAATCTCACTTTGAGGACTAATTTGAGGTAAAGACTTATGTTAACTTTCCTCTTGAAGGTGGGATGAAACTCTTTTGGTAAATACAATGATATGATCCCTTTATATAGATTTAGTGATATCAACAAATGAGGTGATTAATACTAATCACCCCTAATATTCTAACACCCCCTCAAGTTGACACCTCTTTTAACTATAGGTGCTCAACTTGCCAATAACAATTACAAGGAGGGAATAAAAATATATTTGGAATATTAACAAAAACTCATTGATCAAATAGACCAATACAAATTAAACCATTCCTTTTGAGGAGCTTTTCTAGCTTGCCTTGTTACATTCCTCTCTCTTCAAGTCTTCTCAGCTTCATCTTTGACCTTCACACAGTTCTTACACTGAAACCTTGAGATGCCTAACATGACACTTCTTGCAAGCTCCTTAATCCACGTCCTCATAACAACTTTTTGTTCATTGCCAAATGAGAAGCCCGAGGCAATAAAGCATACCATCCCATTCATATAATTTTGTGGAAGCATACATGCGCATCAACACTCTTTGTATAGTAAGACAAGGCCAAATATAATATTACTAGCAGCACCAGTCCTGTGAAATTTGGAACATCTTGCACAAGCTACAATAATTGTTGGTACAAAATTCAATCACAAACCTACAATTATCCTTGCCCAAAGACTAACAACAACACACAAAAATGGCTGCCAATTCTTGACATCTTTCCAATCATTTGAAAGCACCATTGCCTTCTTCTCAATGCATGAAAACACCACCTATCATGACATGTAACTCACTTTTTTTTTTTGGAAATTCTCATAGAGATATCTCTCGAATCCTTCTCTTGATGTCCATAACCATGAGGTAAGCTTCAACAAGCTCATTTCTCATTTTTGCTCCAATTTCATTTGTTGTTGCTTTATTAATTTCTCACTAGAAGATGAAGACTTTAGAAAATGGGTTTCCACTGAATTGTGTTTCTTCCTAAACCTTCAACTTTAACTTTTTGCATTACCATGGTCTTATGATTCGAAGCTATGAGTACCATCAACATCACTGATATGACATTCCATGACAACCCTACTTCAGTTTTTTTTATTTTGAACCCTTTCAAGTTCAAGGTCTCATAAGAGTGCTCAACTCCCCTGAAAGACGATTTGGAATGGAAGCTCATATATAATGAAGTTGCAGACCCGTCAAAGATTCGTGAAGAAGATATTCTTAGTGTCACATGGCTCTCGTTGACCTGCTCTTATATTCAAGATTTCACTCATCACAACATCATCGACCATAGGGTTCTCAACTTATCTTAATCTCACTTACCCTTTTCTTCACTAAAGACCCTTCACTAGAAGAATTTTGCATCTAGAGGGCCATGCTGACATGTAGGGCAATCAACATCAAAGGGAATCCCTCCTCGAATCAAACATTCAACAATGGCACCAACAACCTACCACACCACACATGACCGCTCACATCTCATCAATAATTTTCCACCCCCAATTCTTGCATCTGTCATGGTTGAATGAGGTAGAAGAGTGATTTTGAGTAGAGAAGAATTGTGCGACGGCAAAACAAGAATGCTAGGATTCTTAAAACAAGTTTGGTGGCAGATCGAGGACCTTGAGACGGCAACGAATTAGAGGTTTTTGATGAACTCAAGTAAGGAAGATGACAATGGCAAAGGAAATTTCATAATCAAAGAGGAAAGAACACAATGACTTTTGTAAAAATGATGAGCCATGGAAAGAAGTTGGTAAAGTAGAACAGCTCCATTTATGTTACATTCTTCTTAGATGGTGAAATCAATACTGGTTGATAGTAAGGTTGCATTCTTCTTCTTGTTTCCCATTAACGATTTCGTTCTGAATAGAGGGTGAGGAGTTAAGATGCACAATGTAGTGTTCTATGCATGAACAAGAAATGTATCGTTTCAATTCCTGCTTTTGAATGTCGCCCCATATACAATCAAGAAACACAACATTCTAGATTAATTGATACTAAGCTGAATTCTTGTCAACTTCTTGGTTATGCACCCCTAATCTTGTAGATCATCCTTTGAACAACCATGAGGCCCAAAAATAGCCTACTTTTGATACCATGTTGAGAAAATGGTGAAGAGAAAATTGAACTATTGATTAACGAAAATGGTACAACATTGACAATGAAACTGATCCTTCACTTGAAGGATTTATCATGCTAATATACTCACTTGGGTGATTCTCAAACCCACTTTGGGGACTAATTTGAAGTAAAGACTTATGTTAACTTTCCTCTTGAAGGTAGGATGAAACTTTCTTGGTGAATATAATGATATGATCCCTTCATATAGATTTAGGGATATCAACTAACTAGGTGATTAACACTAATCATCCCTTATATTCCAACACAGATAATGCATCTCTTTATTCGAGGAAGCTGACTCCCGATTATTAGTATTTGGTATTTACTATTTTTTTTATTGCATACAAGGCCACAAAAAAAGTAACATGTAAAAGTTACAAAAATTAGATCATATTAGATTCTAAGAAAATTTTGCATTCTATTAATAGTTGATTAAAAATAATAAGATCTAAACTATTGAGATACTTGATTCGCAAGCATATCAATGTATTTGTTAATTTTTTTAAAAGATATGATAAAACATGACCATTCAAGTTTTCATTGCAAACTCCATAATTTTTTTAATATTTTTTTGTGGAGGATGACTATAAAAAATGTTATGCTGATGAGTGAAAGGATTTTCATAAAATTAATATGAATATTAAATTTTGTGAATTTTGCATTTTAATAAAAATAAAGACTTTTTAGGATGCTCAATAATTGCGCCGCAGTGCGAAGCAAATACCCAAGATATTTTGGTACCTTGTTGGCACGTGATTATGCAGCCGCAAATGGTTTTGGACTTTAGGAATCCTATTGGCACGTGATCTCGGATTCCAAAATGATGAATAGTGCTTATTATATTTTAAAAAAGGAGAATGAAAATTAAAGATTTTTTAAGAATATTAATTTTAATTACGAATCATAAAATTTTAAAATCTTAATTAAAGACTATAATCTTTAATTATGATAAAAAAATATAATTTATAAGGTAGGATTCACTAACATGATTTAGGAATTTATTAATCCAACTTGAGAAAATTACTAACATATATTGTGAAAACATGAAACTCCACTTGAAAATTAATTGTTTAACAAAAAATGTCACTTGAAAATTCACTAACTCGATTTGAAAAATTTCTAACGTATAATGTGAAAATATGAAACTCCACTTGAGAATTAAATGTTTAAAAAAAACGTCACTTGAGAATTTAATAACTAGATTTGAAAAAAATTTTAACGTATATTGTAAAAAAATGAAACCCTACTTAAGAATCAATTATTTAATAAAAAATGACTTGTCCAGATTGATGATTTTTATTAAACAATTAATTCCCAAGTGAAGTTTCATGTTTTCACAATATATGTTAGAAATTTTTTCAAGTTGATTTAGTGAATTTCCAAATAGTATTTTTTATTAAACAATTAATATTTAAATGGGGTTTCATATTTTCACAATATACGTTACAAATTTTTTCAAGTTAGGTTAGTGAATTCTCAAGTGGCAATAGTAAATGCCACCTCACAAACTACATTTTTTTTATCACAATTAAGAACCATTACCTTTAATTAAAATTTTAAATTTTTATAGTTCATAATTGAAATTAATATTTTTAAAAGGCCCTTAATTGCCATTCTTCCTTTGTAAAAAATATAAAAATATTATCTATTAATTTAGTTCAACTTTTTCATGAGTATTCAACTTTTCGGAATATGTAAAACTATTGTCAGTTGTGAACTTTTTTTTACCCTGATTTAATAAAAGCAAATTAAATGTATATAGGTTAGCCAGAAGATAAACAAATATACAGTGAATTGTAATTGATGACAATAGGGGAAAAACAATTACAATCAAGAGTTTTTATAAATATAATCTATAGTATAGAAACAAATTAAGAAAATAACTTAACATTTATTATAGTATTATATCTAATTTATTACATTTGTCAATAATATATTATTGTATATCAATAGTAAATCTCCCATAAATTTTTAATAATAAACATCTTATATATCAATAATAAATTTTTATACATCAAAATGACCAGCCATGCTTTCAAATTTTCAAAAATTTAATTCATATTTTTTTAGTACAAAATTTTTTTCTTTTTAACCAATGAACCAATTTATCCTTGTAATTATCTCCTCCTAGGTTTGAATCCTTATCGAAAATCAATGCAATTAATCATCTTTGAAAGCTAATTTCCCGGATAGTATGCTTGTTATATCTCTCAATCAATACTGCTTTCCATCTCGGTATCACATGCTAATAGAATCTTCCAACAAAAAAATCATGGAATCTTCTAACAAGTCGTGCATATGTTCTAACATAATTAACCTAAAATTATGGAGCACTACAAGTTACTTAAATGGCAGGGATTTTTCCAAATAACCCTTCCAAGGAAGGAGGTCCCTGATGAAAAAATATGAATTCATCAGGTGCCAAGCAAAAGCATAATCAAAGAACAATAAATATTCCTTTAACTAAAGAACAATTCTATTTCTTGCAACAAAAACATAGATTCCCAAAGAAAGGTTTACAAAGAAAACATAAAAGATATATCTTAATGTACAACAACTATCATCTACTATAAATGTGATTCGAAATGGGCTTTCTAGCGGAAAGAAGCAGATACTATGTGCTTGATCCTTCTTCCAAAAACGAATGCTACCTTGGAAATATTTCTTGTACTTGTGATCACCCACTACATTGAGGAAAGAGCTCTATTTCATGTATTCTAACACATCATGCGTAATACCTTCAAGAAAGGAAACAAAACCCATTACACTCGTGAGACCGCTTCCATCAACATCCTGTTCCTCGATCAGAAAGTTTTCAAAAATTGAGGCATCATCTTGTCCTCCCCGGATAAATATGAGCTTGGGAGTGATGCATCTCTCTTGCTTCAATTTATTGATCGTAGTCCTTAACAAACCTGACAAGGTATTATGCATGATGATTATTAGGCAGAATAGTAGACTTTATATTCCAACCAACTTACCTGGAGAAGCCAGGCAGAAGAACAAGTAAAGAAGGCTTACAATCATGGGGAGGAGGGAAAGGAAGTGATGGGTCTGCAGTTGAAGAGTAAAACACAATCAGAGTTGTGAACGCATCAAGGAAAAATATTGGACTGCCACTGGTAATTAGTGCAGCACGACTCAAGGAATGGCGTGGATATGCTTGTTTATCTGGAGTAGAATATGAAGTCAACACTGGATACACAGCTCGGTGGAGGGAACTTGGCTCCAGAGCACTACAGCACCCAAAATAAATAATAATTGTAAGTGTAAATTCTTGAGTGTAAACATCAAATATTCAATGGTAGAAGTATAAGCCAAGCCCCTTCAGCGCGCCCCCAACAAACCCCCCCCCCCCAAAAAAAAAAACACACACACACACACACACACACAAAGTAAACATGCCCCTTAAGCTTTTGCTCACTTAATAGAATACCAGTTCTGCTCCTGCCCCCTCATGATAGGCTTGACAATAGATAGGCATGATGATAAATTGAGATTATAGCTGGAAATAATTAGACGTTTCTGTTTGAATTGAATATCAAGTACATTAAGTGAGATTAAACATTTAGTCTCTTTCAAAAGGCCTTGGCAAGGCCTAAAATTAAATAATAACATACATATTGGGTATGATACATTACAAGCCGCTAAAATAGTCTCCACAAAATCTGATTATTTGTCAGACCAGGGAAAGTAAACTGACTTCGTTTTAAATCCCTAATCCCACACACCACCACTGTCATTGCCCTCAAATACACCTCAAGAAAGACAATGTCCAAAATAAAGGTCAAGCGCTCTTTTAAAGCAAAACTGTAAGAATAATAGGGGAAAAAGCAATTATTTTGCAGTTTTTTGAAAAATAAATACTTTTTACTATGTCCTCCCTCTAGTCTTATTTATAGGGTGGAGAGAAAAGATTTTTTTTTGAGTCCTATTTATAGGTCAGGTCAATAAATTTTCATCACAAATTTCTCCTTTTACCTTCCATTGAATGTTGGAGACAATGTGTGTTGTTAAAATACGCATATTTAACAAAAACAAAGTTAAAACTTATTAAATTTTTAAACAGAGTTAACGAGTTTTAATATTTTCCTTGATTTCAATAAAACAGGTTGAAAATAACTTATAAATAAGATCAAAGGAGTATAAGTGAAAAATCATCAAAATAAAGGTCAAGCACTCTAATATTGCAGCTGCATTCAACTCCCATCATCCAGACATTCATGGCATGATTTTGCAATTTTCACTGTTCAAATAGATTGGTGCGAATCAACTACCTGAAAAGACATTGCAAATAGATGCGGTAGTCTGGATGAATGCCTTCCTCATGAAAGCGAAGAAGAGGATTACGAAGGAGAGCAAAAATTAGGCGGGGAAGAGGCTGCAGTTGTGGACATTGGGAGAATGAAACATCAATCTGAGAACTTAAGGAACTTCCACTCCCATACTGAACAAGTTTATGAACATCATTATACTGGGCTGTAAGGAGCACTAGCCAATCTTGAAGTAACATCCTGCCCTCCCGAACTCCTTCCTTCAAAGAAGCTAATATGACCTGCAGAATAATTGCATCCATTTGAAAGATTTATTTCTCAAGAGTACAAAAGCATTCATGGGACCATTCTGGATAAAAAAGTCCCACAGAGCTTGCTAACTCAGTGCCAGAGCTGAGAGATGATCTAGTTGCCTTTTTTCATATGCCCATACAATTATTTTTTATAGATTTATTCTGATGATTTGAGCTCAAGAAGACAAAGGAAATCATATATTTAAAAAGTAAAAGAGACAAGGAATTATCACTTTTTATTCTTAAAAACAATTTTAGATAGATGGAAGACAAGTTAAAAAATAATGAAATGCACTTTAACTTTTAAGAGCGGGGAATCTTTTCTTTTCTTTTCTTTTCTTTTTTTCTTTCTCTCTCTCTTTTCTTTTCTCTTTTTCTTCTTCTTCTGTTTTTGTGTGTGTGAGTGTGTGCGCGTGCGTTTTGTGGTGGGGCGGGCAGCCTGTAAACATTAATCCAAAGGATGAGAAAGTCGGGTAAGTCAAAAATTCACCTTGTGAACAAGCAAAGTTAGCACAACTTCAACTTTTTAAGAAAGAGGAAAAGGAGGGGGAGCCTGTAAGCATTAATCCAAGGGATAAGAGATTTGGGTGAGTTAAAAATTTACCTTGTGAACAAGCAAAGATAGCACAACTTCAGGATCAACACTATCATAAAGTTCATGCATGTTCTGAGCAACACTGAACTGCAAAGTCCGAATCCTCAATCGACGCTTAAGGGAATGCTTGGTTCTGCATCAATTGTCAACACACACTGAAATCCATCTTGCAGAAAGAAAATTATTAACAAATGGTGGCAGAAAATGAGGACTGAAAGCCTATGAGCAATGGAGGAACAAAGGATATACTGCACAAACAAGAGCATCCAAAAAGAGAAAGGAATTAACAATCTGAAAAGCGTTTATCATAGAATGAGGGTGACAGTTATGAAGATCTCGCAAGTGAAAAAGCATGCCAAATAAAGACTATTCAAAGCAAGATTGCACAATAGATTTGCAGTGTACAGTATCAAATCGTGCTTAACAGCAAAAAGTTCTATCAAATTTATAATTGAACAAGAATGGATAAAAAGTTACAACCATTCACTGAACATAGATAACAAGAATGATCTCATGGATCCTAGGAAGTGAGAACTGATTTGATTATCTTTCCTTCACAGCATTCCAACATATTTATTTCAACATACTTCAAAGTGTTCAAAATGCAAAGTCTTTGATACCACACCAAAAAAAAAAAAAAATCAACTTATTATGTTCGCCTAATGATATATACATATATATTTTGTTTATTTACTGAGTATGGAGATTCAACAAAGCCAGAAAAAAGACGAGTATATTGTGACTTGTCAGACATCCCATTTTCAACATATTGGAAAGTGTTGGAGGATAAACTAAAGCTTCAAGAAATAAGGCACAAGCTTAGAAGATATATAACTGTTTTGATCACAAGAACAAACGAAAGAATGAACTTGGCTGCAACATTTAATTGGACTACTATGATTTTAGATAGCATGAAAAACATCAATTCATCACAATAGAAGATGTAAACAATAAAAGAAAAGTTGTTCTATGCTGGATTTACTATACCTACTAGTAGAAGTCGTTCCTGAACTGGAAAGTTCCTCAGGAGGAACCACTACTGTGTATTGAAATGCAATCTGAAGCGTAGGAACTTCTGATGCATGCCTGTCAAAAAGTGAAAACAGACCTTAATCAGAAAAAGAAATGTATCTAGAAAAGCATTACATTCTCTACTGTACTAAAAACTGAGCAGCCAATTAAAATGACAAGAGGTTGCAGGACTAATATCACATCAAAGACTAGAAGTGTGTAATCTATGGCAAATATATTCAGCTTTTATGCTTCATAAGTTTTCTCCAGCACGCAATTTACAGGCCAAAAGGGGCATCTATATCACCTAAATCCTGCTAAGAGAAGGCAATAATCTTTGTAAGTTCTTGTGTGTTTTGATTAAATTTGGGTTAGGATTGATTCTGGACAAGCAATCATCATGCTGATTAACTTAATCTTGAAAATATATATATATATATATATATATGGAGACTTGCATGCCCAACAACCTCTGAAATCCTCACCCATTCAAAAAAAATCATTTGGAAGCTAGGTAATTAGTTAAGATTATCAAATACCAGTATCATCCGTATTTGATCAAGTACCAGCAGAATATCAGTTTTATAAGAGAGAAATTTCAAACTTTAGGCATCTATCAATGTATCTGCACCTCAAGTATAAAATCACATAATTGCCTATTGAAAGCAGCAGTTTTTAGTAAAAAGCTGCGTCCAACAGCTAAAGGGCTAGTTTGTTTTAAATTAAAAAATAAGTTATTTTTAGGTAGTTTAGAGGTTTTATAAAAAGAGATTTATTTTGTAGAGATTTTATAAAAAGCAAACATTATTTTATGCTTGGTTATAATAATAAAAAAGTGATTATTAGTTAGTTATTTTTAAATTTTATGATATCTTCCTTGATTTTAGTTTTATAAAAATGGTTTATTATTATATTATTTTAAAATTTTATAACATTTTTGCATATTCCGTCGCTTTAAAACATTCTCTCTCATCCACCACATAAGACTATTTTCAAAAGCTACTCAAAGTGGTTTCTTGAAATAAACAAAAATCTGCTTTGTTTAGATTCTGATTATTTCCAAAAGTTTAAACAAACAAAATAAAAAACTCACAAAATAACTTTTTTTTTTCAAAAAATAAGTAATATTTTTCATGAAATAAGCTAAAACAAACTGCCCCAAATACATATTGCCATGGTTGGCAAAGTTACGGATTGTTTTGCAACTTTGGAGCTCTGTTGAAGAAAAGCATAGAACCTCCTGTCCTTTGTATAAGGGTTCATCAACCACCTCATACTTACCAGAATTTAGTTAAACTTAATTACAACAACAACAACAACAAGCCTTTATCCCACTAGGTGGGGTCGGCTACATGGATTGCAAGACGCCATTGTGCTCTATCATTTATTAAGCTTTTAGAAATATTATTAATTAAAAGATCACGTTCAACAACTTCCAAGAGTGTTCTCTTAGGCCTTCCTCTACCTCTCTTAATCGGACTCAAAGTTATATGTTCCACTCTTCTCACTGGTGCCTCCCTTGGTCTTCTTTGTACATGCCCAAACCATCTCAACCGATTTTCTACCATTTTTTCCTCAATAGGTGCCACCCTCACTTTTTCACGTATGTGCTCATTTCGAATTTTATCTTTACGTGTATGTCCGCACATCCATCGTAACATTCTCATCTCTGCTACTCCAACTTTATGCTCTTGCTGTCCCGTTAGTTAAACTTGATTATCATCATCAAATGTCTTAAATATGAATTTCTTTCCAAAATTACCTACGTTCAATGAAGGTAATTCTCTAATTGCTAGTGTTATTTAATTATATTTAATAGTTACACACAAAGGGCATTTTGGGTAAATTTAATGAATCAGACAATTTCTAAAACACCATGTATTAAAGACCATTTTAGAAGGACTGAATGGAGTATTAAGATAAACCAAAAAACAAGAACAACACAGTATCTGATGGAGAATAACATAAGATTTAGCTTGGTAGATTGCATAGAATACTCAATTGAAAAAGCCCCACAGCTCAAGTTGACATTATTCACATTCTTAATGCATAATTGTATATCACTTGAATGAGCGTATCAAAAGTTCGCAAGCATTCAAGCCTGTAAGTGCAATCTATAGTGGTAGTCAGATGCATTAGTACCTTGAAAACCCAACGTTGTTCTCAAACTCAAAATCATAAGCATATGTGGCGTATGAGTCACAACAAATGATGTGCTGAACATTTTCATATTGGGGATCTGGGAAAAAATGACCATACTGCAATGTAAAAATGCATTAATCCACAAGTAGATGAAAAAAGTGTAATTTGAAAATTTTATCCAATATCACAAACTTACAGAATGACCAGGTTTAAATTCAGTTGATGTTCTTAATCGTAGTACACAACCAAAAGCATATGGCCTACTCAGCATCCGATACCTTCAAAATGAGAGGACCAGGTATCATCAACCACAGTCAAATATTCCAAGGAACTAATACACATCAATTTTATCTCAACAAAACTAGTATTAAATTTCCAAAAAAAATTATCCAAATCAATGATAAGTTTTGGGGAACTAACGGAAAGAAAGACATGTGATTGGAGTTTAGGGTGATTGATGTTGTGTTGAGGGTCAAGTAGAATGAACGATTGGTGAAGTAGGAAATGAGAAAAGAGGAGGGAGTTCTTTATTAATTTATGAAATTAGAATCTAACTTCATAATCAACAAAGCCAAGCATATTCCCAAAAGGAAGTTTCTGAATAATTCATCACAGTTTGCTTCACAAAACATACACTTATATATACTTCCACATCGACCAGAATGATCTAACACATAAGCTACCAATTGCCTTCTAGGTATTAAACGCCTATTCTGTAACACAAATACTTTGCAATTTGGATAATACATGGACTGTTACTTAACATCTTTACAGATTCATAACCATCTAATCCGTCAGTACAAACAACAACTAGTTTTCTATTACTGCTATTTAAAAACTAGCCCCAAAGATTGACTCTTCACATATCCCGTATCCCGGCATTCTTGTGCCTCCTAGAGTACATGTGAATGATAGGGGGAGCTCTACCAATTAAGCAACTATGGTAATTTTACAGCCAAGGCAAGCAATGGGTGGGAGTATTGTGTTACCAAAGAGACTTGGACTTACATGTCCTGGGGCAAAGTTGAATCCTCAATACTTGTATATAATAATAAAGAACCCCCACTTTCAATGCTCAGGAACTTTAGGGATGCCAAATCTGTGTACTCATTTGTTACAGCAAATATGTCCACACAGACACCTGCTTGAACAGCAACAGCAGCCTGTAACATACATGTCAATTCTTCCACTTTTCACAAATAGGAGATATTTTATTAAAATAAACATAAGTACGATACCAGATCTTTATAGAATGGTGTCTGCTCAGGGAGTAAGGCACGGTCTGCATCCTCTCGTTTGCTGGCATATTGCTCTCCATATCTTCTAGTATCCAATTGTCCAGCTCCATAATCAGGAGGACCAGACAAGAAGGCAAAAACTCTAGCTGCAGTAGCATCCAATAGAAACAAGAATTACTTGGAGCCTTTAATCCCACAGTATAATGAACATGAAAACAATATGTTAACTAAAACATAGATAATGAGCTTTGAATTCAGTCATGCACACCTAAAGCAAAGGTGTTTCCATATTCAGATCCAAGGTAATTGAAAAGAGCTTCCATTGCGACCCCAAAACCACGCCCGCCTATCAGAACACCATCCAGTCCTTGACCTGCTGCTGTAGTTCTCTCCCATGAAGTTGTTGGTCTAAGTGTTTCAAGGGCAGATGCAATACGCTCCTTACAAGTTTCCACCTGCAACAAAATTATAGATTTTATACTGGAATCAGACTTTACCTATATATTTAATTGCATTTCAAAATGAGAAAAGAACTCAGAAAAATGTGGCAAAAAAATCCATATCATTAACCTACAGGAGCCAAAAACTGTAACAAAGGCATGACATCTTCAAGCTCAATTGATAAGGTTCCCTCTGTATCGGGAGGGATAAAAACATTTTTTACAACAGGTATAGGACCTTGAACATCATACAACCCTAATTTGTGGCTGAAGGTAGCAAGCCCAAAAAGTGAACCAGGAGCAAGAGCTGCAAACCAAAAATAATGATTAAGAACCAACTTCTAAAGGTTCAATTTTATGCAAGAAAGGAACATACAATAAGATCCAGATATTAACCTTCCAAAGCTGCCAGCAAGGCACTTTTAATGAGATCTAGAAACTCCTCTGAAGCTGCAGGTGAAAACAGAGTACTATATTATTAGGGAAACTATTTTTATATTGATGATTGAAGACTTCTATGGAGAATCAGATAGATAAGGGATAGACAAGAAGGGGATATGAAAAGGGGGGAATTCAAAATCATATAAGTTCCCCCTCTAAGCAATTTCAGAAGTTAAACTAGAATTGCAGATGTGGCTTTTTCATTCCACAAAAGTAGGGCTAAGAAACACATAGCCTCCATCACTTTACAGGCTGCAATATCAGTATAACTATTTAAATTTGAACTTCAACAATTATCAAATCACTGAATATCAGAGATGCTCAAAGCAATAAGTGAAATCTAAAGTTCAAAAGGATATTTGACTCTGCCCAGTTATCTTAAATTCCAAATTATAATTTCAGATGCCACCAAAGGGCTGTGCAGTGACATGTCCAAGGATTTAAACAGATAGAAGAAGCACAAAAAACAAGACAATAGGTTTTCAGTTATAAGAAATTAAATAAGCATCTGAAAACAGCCAATATATAAAGAATACTTTTCATTCTAGATTATCAAAGTGAAAGCATTTCCTTACAACCTTTAGATGTCTGAAAGTCCACACAAAAAACATTTCAAAACAACCATTATCTGAAGAGTGCTTTTTTCTTCCTGATAGGGCTTTTGTTCCTTTTAATATTCACAGTCATCAGACTTGGGGTATTATGAACCCGTGATCTCACACTCATCCTCATTCTTAAAGCAGCTAAGGAGGCATTGGATCCAATTCACAGTGTATCATCGACTCTTCATGAAACAACAACAACAAACGGCCTAATCCCACTAAGTAGGGCGGGTTACATAGATTCTTCATGTGTCACCAAGAAAATAAAATCAAATCAAAATAAGCAACACAGCATGCTAAAATATCCGCTAAATATCTCACTGATTTTACACTTAATTGAGTTCAGTATTCATCATAAGTGCATATTCAGGCACCAAGACCTATCGACGTGGTGAATGAAAATCAATCCAGCCAGGGAAGTACAAAATGTTGCAGTTAAATATCCAAGGTGCGAATTTCTTAACCAAGCAGCCATATTAAACCGCCCCAATTCTTAACATTCAATCACGAAGGTGCAGTTGGAAATTGTCAAAATTGGCATATAAATACGCAGTGATGCAAATATTACAAAATGAAGTAACCATTTATTAACCGCGAAAATCTTACAGGTCAAGTCAACAGCAGCAACATAGACTGGACGAGCATGCATTGCTGCTTCCTCTGATGGTTCCTCTGCAATAAATAACGAGTGAGCTATCTGAACAGCGTAAAGCCTCGTGGTGTGCTATTAACTTTTGTTAACGAACGATGCAGGAAACTGAGGGGAGAACAAATTAACTTCAAGTTTAATGTTTTGCAGTGCTGCCAGAAAATAAATAATACATGCAGAGACTTAACTCCGATGTATATAAAAGTAATTGGATAAGTATGGCGTTACAATTCCGTTTATTTTACTGTGATTACCGCAAAGTTTCCAGTCAACGGATGAAAATCGCCATAAAGGCACCTACCCGGTAATTCAAGATCTATGAAGGAGGACATCATCTCGGCACAGGACTGTGGGCGAGAGTATCGAGTAATAGCCTTGGATGAAAGGCCATTGAGGGTGCCGCAGAGTGAGCAACTCCATGACCACTGTTCAAGCTCGCAGTAAGTATTGAAGTATGCCCAGCAGTTCTCACACCGGGGCAAGAGGTGCCCGTCAGATCCATAAACTGGAGCTTGACCGTTTTCGTCCTTGGCCGCGAAAGGCGTCACCGTCACTCCCCATGGTAAACCGGAACCCTCCTGGGCGTCAGGGTCAATCGGGAAGCGCAGGACAGTTGCCCTCAGTGCCATGACTTCGAGGGAGCAAGAAATGCGCCGATCGTTCAATGTGTGCGCAGACCGCGTAGAACTCGAACGCCCGTTCTGGCGCTTGTTTTTTTTGTCACTTTTCCTTTCTTGCCGTTGTTGCTCGGTTTCTCAGGAAACAGACGGGTTGACCAGGTGGAACTCTACACATGAGTTGTACCATTCATAGTGTGCCACGTCATAAATATTGACAAGCCAGAACCCAAGGGCTGTTTCTCACTTTCGCTTTAAGTTTGATGAAATTGCAGTTTGGCAAGAATTGATTTACAAACATGATTTTAAATAGGAAAATTGAGATGAGATTGTTTAAAACTGAAATTGACCAAAATATCTTCATCACTTTTTGTCCTGACCACAATTTTTGGCACTAACTGGAGTTCGCATCACCGCGCGCGCATCAACCAGAGGGCGGATCTGGGCCCTTCAATTCATTTCAAAATAGATCTTTATTGTTCATTATAAATTAACTTTTGATGGGGATGAAGCAAAATCAATAAAAAAGACAATAAAAAATTATAAATTAATTTTTAATATTATATTTATTAAAATAAAAGTTTATAAAAATTATTAAAAAATAATATTAAGTTTATATTGTCCAAACTATATCTAAATAGGCAATTTATAAAAATTATAAAAAGTTTAATATTAAATTAATTCATCTAAATTATATATGTATTATCCAAAGTACACAAGGATAGTCAATTTAAAAAATTTTAATCAAGCCCAACTAAATCTATACTGGTCAGATTGATGATAAACAAAATTATTAAAAAACTTTAAATTTGATAAAAATTAAATAAAAATAAAAATGAAAAGCTTTAAGTTTGAATAGTTCAGATCCCATGGTGGTGAATAATTTGGTATCCTCTAATGACCATTTTTAATAGCCTAGATTTAATATTAATTTTTTTATAATTTTTATTTTAATAAATATAATATTAAAAATATTTAAAAATTAAATTTAAAATAAATGATGGAGATTATTTTAAGATAATTTGAAGGACCCTGATTATCTCTTGGCTTGATACACGCCGAATGCAATTGCCACTGAATGTGGGAAACAATTACACTATTAATCCTATGTAATTATTACAATTTTAGGGGAATTGCATTAAGGGTCATGAAAATAAAGAATATTACATTTTGGGCTTAAAAATTTTTTATACTCCTAGTGGCCTCTTTTGCAATTTTTTTAGGAGCAAAGGCACAATTTTGCCGGAAGGTTTTTCAGTTAAAAGAGTTAAAAATTTCTCAGTGTTGATGGTGAAAGGTAACTTTTAAGGTCTGTAGATTTTAAAATCTATCCATCCCAAATAGTACTTTGATTAAAAATATTTTATTGAGTTTTGATTAAGGATGTTGTCCATCATTTTTATGCTAAAATAAGAAATAGTTGTGAGGTGGACGTTTGGCCAAAAAAAAAAAGTTGACAGGTGGATGACAAAACTTGGTGAGCTATATAAGTTTCTAACGTGCACAAGGTAAATGTGGCTATTACATTTTGGTGAGCTAATAATTCAGCTGAATGATTTAAATAGCGTCATTCTTGCTTGCTAGTAAAGTGGCGACCGAGATGGTCTTAACTCATTTAATATGTAGTAGTTTTGTTTGATGAAAACATTTAATGGGGCTTTTACATAAAGTAGTAAAGTGCATATGAGATAAAATTTTTGTCACATAAACTGCACTGTGATGTTGGAATTAAAATTTTATTTGTGATTTTACTACTAATATGAGCTAAGGGTTTTTGAACCATGTAAGTTGATTATGAGAATTTTAGAGTGAATAAATTGTTGTATAATAATGATGGTTGACGTGTTTATATTAAACTTTTATATATAAATGGAATAAAATATGACCTAATATAAAGAAAATATGCTGTCAGAAACATTGAAGTATTTGTTGTGTAAAAATAAAGTTGGTTCTAAACGTTGAGTTGTATATTTTGTTAAATCTAGACTACTGATAAACTAAAATCGTATACACTTTTAGTTAAGGATATAATAACCTTGTGTTGTGCATAGTGAATATTGTATTATGCATTGTTTGCCTAACTTATGCATTTTGTTAAGCTTGGCCTACTGATAAACTAAAATCGCATAAACTTTCAGTTGAAAATATATAAACCTTATATTGTGCATAGTAAATATTATGTTGTACATTATTTGCCTAACTTGTGCATTTTGTTAAGCCTGTCCTCCTAATACACTAGACACTTGTTGACTTTTAGTTGAGAATATATGAATATTATTTTATACATAGTGAATATTATGTTGTACATTGTTTGCATAACTTATGCATTTTGCTAATCCTATACTACTAATAAACTGGAATCACATGAACTTGCAGTTGAGAATATATGAATCTTATGTTATGCATAGTGAATATTGTGTTGTACATTATTTGCCTAACTTGTACATTTTGTTAAGTCTAAACTACTGATAAATTAGAATCACATGAACTTTTAGTTGAAAATATATGAACCTTGAACTGTGCATAGTAAATATTATATTATACATTGTTTGATTAACTTGTGCATTTTGTTAAACCTAAACTACTAATAAACTGAAATTGCATGGACTTTTAATTTGTGTTGTGCATGATGGATATTGTACTGTACATTTTTGCCTATTTTGTACACTTTATTTCATTTTCATTGAAACATATACATAATTCTAATTACAAATGAAAAACCAATTCTAAATTACAAAAAAGAATATTAAAATATATACATCATCTAACTAGAAAAATCTAATTCGACAATCCTATGACTTTCTTTTCATTTGCTTGTTCCTATAAGTGCAAGTGGCCGTTCATGCATGACATTATTGGGGTGCTCCATTAGCCAGCACATAATATCATACCTCATACTTGATAGTTCTTGGGTTGTATATTCAGGCATGGTAAACGGAGGATGGTCAATATTCACGGTATTGTTACAAAATGTAAGCCATGTAATGAAATGAACTCCACAATTATTGCTGCACAGCAAAGGTGACGAATTGAGATATGAATCAACATTGATCATGTCATGCTTTAATGTGCCCAATCTACAAGTCAAGAACATTGATCAAAGTCATATCAACATCAATGAAGAGACTATATTATACTATAATACCATGTAATACTACCAAGAGTTCAATCCATGTGACTAATATTATATTGAAATTATCAAGCAACCAAAACTAAATTATATTTTACACGTGTAATGTAAATGTAGAGCTGCTTATACTAATGATGTATCCAAAGTAATTTATTGTCATGCCTAATCATTACGTATGCCATATTTAATTTAGCTATTCCTAATGAGCAAGTTTGCAAAAATCATTTAAACTATAATATAAATAGAGAGAAAAGGAATATAAATTGAGCATCATTTTAAAACTACAGAATAAGCACTCTCAAAATTAATAAGAATCTTGAAATGATACACGCCCAACTCTCAGATTAAGATAGATCGTGTTTTACATCCTTAACTCACATTTCAACTAAAATAGTCAAAGCTTTTCAATTAATTTCCAAGGCTTCAAACTAAAATCAAATATTACTAGAATCGACCTTTACAAATGAAATTCTCGATCTCATTATTCAATCAAGGTAGAATTATCCACAATATCACACCACGAGGAGTATAAGAGAGCTTTGAAGCAATCTTCCTGGCATTTTTAACTCAAGTGAACCGATGATAACATGAAACAAATGGATCATTAACTTTGAGGTATCATCATTTAATTGTCTCATTAATTATTAAAAAAAGAACTTCTTAAAATATAACAAGTTAAATGCTTTGATTATATATTCTTAACAGATCATCCATCAATCTATCATTATATAACAAGTTGAATGCTTTGATTGCAAGCAAGGTTTACATAAGGTCCTCAATATAAACTTAAAAGTGAAAGCCACCATTGTAAGAATGTAGCCGTGACTAGGCTCGTGGCTATAGCTATTAATGGGTAATTGATAAATTATTACTCTTAATCCATGATTAAATAACACTCATTTAACTTAATAGCTATAACCACCAGGTTGTTACTTTTTTGTATATGTGTAAGATCAAGAATCAATAATCTATCAAAAAAGAACCATTCTTTCTAATTTGGGTAAATAAATATTGGTTTTAGGGACAAATTAGATACATAAACTCGTGGATTGATTGAAGGATGTGTATATATAATCACTTAAGAAATCTAATAGGGGAAATCGCATTAAAGGTCTTGAAAATACAATATGATTACTGATTCATAATCAAGTCGCTAATATAGTGAAATTCAAGCCATGTAGAATATCCAACTTACTTAGTGTGTGTCTGATTTTTAGTTTGTCAAAAGCCCATTTGAAAAAAGTCAGTTTAGTAAAAGTCAGTTATTATAATAAAATTTGTGTTTGGATATATTTTTTTAAAAGTTAGTTTAATATACTGAAAATTATTTGAATTGTGATAATAAAATATGCTTTTGAATATATAATTACCAAAAAAATATTGATTTATAATAATTTGTAATTTTTATTATACAAATATAATATATTTGAAATATTTTAAAAATGTGATAACAATTTTAAATAATATAAAATTTAATCTATAATGCTAAAAACTTGATCTCTAGTTATTTGTACCTTTTAAATTTGTGACTTTAGAAAATGTGATAAAGATTTGTAATTTTTATTATACATTAATGCTAGAAATTAACATGATTAATTATTCAATTTACAATGCTAAAAACTTAATGCCTTATTATTATTATTATTGAAATGATGATTATATTTTTAATGAGTTGACTATTTTTTAAATAAAAGAATAAAAGATTAAACTTATGGCAGTATGGTCAAATAACATCATACTTTTTAAAAGTTTCAAATAGTTACGTTTTTTAAATTCATTTTCAACCACTGTTTAGATGTACTTTCAGGATGTACTTTTCTGTAAAATATTTTACACAAATAACTTCTAACATTTTAAAAGTAAAATTTTACTTTTTGAATGTGAAACGTGATAAAACCAAACGGGCCCTCAGTCTTCCAACATTCATTCAAGCGGTATATATTAAACAGAGAAGGAACAATTTCACAATAATCACTCTTCACCCATACGCACAGATTCAACAATGACAGACTTATTATAACTTTAACCACTAAAGCACA